AGGTTAAAGTTTACTTTTATACTCTTGATGGAAAAAAAAAGGAGGTTGCTAATCAGATGTATAAATTAGACAAAATTTAAGGGAAATGCTTTCCTTCTCAAGAGTACAAACCATTTTATTTTCAAGCAGTTTATATTTTGATTGCAGTATGAGAACAGATCTGTATTGTTCAGACTAGTTAGTGCTTTGTATCAGATCAGTCTCAACTCTTCATTAAAGCAGAAGTTGGATTCTGTATACTTAGTCTAGCTATGTGTGTATGGAAAACAATGAAAACTACTCTTTAATTCTGTAATTCAACTTTAATAATATTTCAGAAAGGCCTTTCCCTAATTATTAAGGTTTTAGTGTATTATGTTTCTCTAATTCAGTTTTCATATGTGCTTGTTATACGGTGATTTGTTGATTACAAGTGGAAATGTAGTGCAAAAATAATCAGTACAAGGTAGTGTAGGACACTTAGGAGTATCCCAATTAGGCAGCTACTATCTTGACCAAATTCCATTCTCTTCTGTAGGCTAAAAGTTTTCCAGGTTTAAATACATTCACATGTAATTTTCTGTATTCTAGAGAGCAGTTAACAAGTAGAAACAAACCTCATTTAGAGTGTAGGAATTGCCAGTTAAAAAATTTCTAAAGCAGCAAAATGTGTAGAATGTTATTCCATATTAATGTGTATTATAATTTTATATATTATTAATGCATATTGTACCATTATGGAGAGTGGTTTTCAAGAAGCTACTTACAATAGAAAATGTGACAATTTTCCAGCATAATATAAAAGAGTATCTCTAAATCATGTAAAGATATGAGTATTTTGAGCATGAATGGTAGCATACCTTTTGAATAGAAAATTGAATGGAACAGGTCTAATCAGTTATATCCCTAATGTCACTTAATCATTACAAAATAAAAGTAGACTGACTTAAGAGATTCCTGAAAAGCGTATTGATAATTTTTTAAATGTTAGCATGTAACTCTTAGCTATCACAGTTAATTATAGCTTAATTTTTCATGAGGTAACAGGAAAAACAATACAGGAGGAAGAAAACCCAGCTTTTAGTTCTGGTCCCTCTGCTTGTTGGCTAAAGACCTTTGGCAAAGACCTTAGCTTCTCTGAGACATAATTTCTTTTCTTTTTCTTTTTTTTTAAATTATAAACTTTATTTTCCACGTCACATAAGTTTCTCCCCCAAATGCCCCCCAATTTATTTATGTAATTTTCGCTGCATTTTTGCCTGTTCCTTTGGCCCTGGGCCACTCTAGATCTCATCCAGGTTGGCCAGGCAACTAAATTATAGCCCTCACTTCTCGCTACCGTGAGAGCAAGGGGCACCCTATACTTTCCTTGGGATTTCTTGACTGCTTTTAAGGTTTGGAAGTGGTAATCAACAGCTCCATTCCTTTCTGTGAGATAAAGGACTGACTCCTAGGTCTTACCATCTACCCTAGCATTGCCTTCTAAAACCCTGTAGTCCTTACCATATGCCCTGCCTCTGTGTGCTATAGTGCTTTCTTGTGTGTGTGTGTGTGTGTGTGTGTGTGTGTGTGTGTGTGTGTGTGTGTGTGTGTGTTTCTGTTTCTGTCTCGTACACACTCTCACCCTCTCTCTCCTGATCTACTTATGTAACAAAGATTTCTTGGTCTTGCCATCTGCCCCATCACTGAACTCCTAGAATTTCCCAGACTTTTCCATCTGACCTTGTGTGCTGTCTCCCCCAATTAGAGTATGACAATTTTGAAAACAGTCTTACTTTTTCTATTTATATCCAGTGCTCATCACAGTGCTTAGTAACTGGGTTTTTGTTGTTGTTATTGTTGTTTTATTCATTCCCTTAATTTGTTACTCTAGAACAGTCTGTGTCAAACTCCAATGAAAGGAGGGACCCTAATCCATACATAAGGATCCCTCTCTGCAGGCACATATTGACTTAATTTTTAAATTTAATGTTATCTAAGGGGTTTTTGTATTTTTGTTGTTATTTCCCAATTGCATTTGTATCTGGTTATGGTGGTGGCCTGTGTAACATTTGGCTCTAAAGTTTTGCCTCCTCCCAACAGTTTTTTCATTTGACTTCTCATGGCAACTAAATACTAGACTTGTTCTCAAAGCTGTTTCTCCGTGGAACTTAGCAGCTCTGTGACCTAGAGCTCATCTCCTCACCTCAGTTTTCTCAACTGTAAGACAGGGCTTAAAACCTATGCTACCTTCTTCATAGGGTTGCCTTGGGGCTCAAATAAGACAGTGTATATAAGAACACATAACTTGTGTCATGTGGTGATTGAAAGCTTTTGCAGAATATGATTCATTTATATGTGAGTTTTCCAAAGCCCTACAACTTGACCCCATTAATTTTTTTTTTTAAATCACTATCACTTTCCTGGCTCCTATTTTCATTAGTCAAGGATTTCAGTTCTTAAATTTTATTGAAGAAAGCATTTTTAACGAGAGCTCTATGTTCAGAACTTACATTTTAAATATAAATTCTACTTATTACTGATTCTAGGAAAAGATCATCTTTCCATACATTTCCCTTTTATCTAAGACAGCAGAAGAGAGATGCACAATCTGTCTACAGGATGATTGCATGTAAATAGCCTAGAATAATAATGTTCCCGTCCTTGCAGCCCAGATGGCATCAATATTGCTTCCAAGTTCCTAACAGCACCCTCACACCCCAGTGCCCTACACACACACACACACACACACACACACACACACACACACACACACACACAGAGGTAATAGAGAAACAGGGATGACAATTATTTTCTTCAGGAATCATATAAATTACTTGAAGTTGGAGATGTGGAAAGAGGTAAAATTTCTTACAGACTCTGGTGAGAGGAGAATCAAGAGAGGGTGGTGTTAAGAGGGTAGTGTTGTGAAAACCCAAAGTGGAGACAAGCCTTTATAAAGTACTTAATCTGTGTTTATTCATACGAAATGGAAGAAGCCCCAGTAATTGGACTCCTCTTAAACTAGATTCCACTTTAATGACAGAAGAGTGAAGAATCTTGTTTATTCTATCAAGGGTCACTGACTGGTTGGAAGACACAAGAGCTTATGTAGAATTAAAAATCAGTTTGTTGTTAAAGATAAATATTGATTGTCTACATCATCTTTTGAAGTTTATAGGAGCCATAAAATTAACAAATTAAATTTAAAAATGTGTCTTAGATAGTTAAGGGGGAAAACAGAAGAGAGGGGAAGAAAATGTAGAAAGAATAAAGAACAGGGTCAGTGAGCAGGGGAGAAATAACAGCAGAAGAAGGAGAAAGATCTTTAAAAAATCTGTAGGTTCTCAGGGTAAATTATCAGTGCTTAATACAGTATCTTGCACATAGTAGGTGCTTAACAAACCTTTATTGACTGATCACCTATTGCTGCCTTCATTTTCAGAGTTCTTATTTCTTTAGCAGTTCACTACTATTCACAATCCTTTAATTGTTTTCGTCCAAACATTCAGGCTGCTCTAGGTGGGAAATTATCCCCTTGTCAGGAAAACTGTCAACTGAGCAATATTCCTAAACTGTTTGCTTTCCGCAGTGTAGGTTAAATAAAGCTGAGGCCAGCTTCTCATCCCGGGATTCTGGGTAGATGTAAATATAGTACATCGTAAACCAATTTGGCTGCTGCTACTTAAGCTAGTGTTAGAGAAATTCTGCTAGCTAAGATAATTACATTCCTTACTAGCCCCTGCTATTGTGATTAGTATTCCATCAATTGTTTGAAGAGTAGTAGATCAGGGAGGCAGCTAGGTGGTGCAGTGGATAGAATGCCAGGCCTGAAGTCAGGAAGACTCATCTTCCTGAGTTCATAGCTGATCTCAGACTCTTACTAGCTGTGTGACCATGGACAAGTCACTTACCCTTGTTTGCCTCAGTTTCATCTGTAAAGTGACCTGGAGAAGGAAATGGCAAATTACTACAGGTTCTTTGCCAAGAAAACCCCAAGTAGGGTCTCAAAGAGTCAGATACAACTAAAAAACAACTAAGGTCATATCTGTGCTGATTTTTCTACATCAACTTAAATAATTTTGTTTGCTGTCCTCCTTAGGAGCTCTTTGGACTTCAAGTGATCTTTTTTTTTTCCTTTGTAAATAGCCATCATTGATCTTGGAAATAAGATAGAATCTTACTTAATAGTTTGCCACACTCATCAGGTGACATCTTGATGGGCTAAACATCCCTTTGTGAATAGAATACTCAGGGACCAAATAGACCACTAAGTTAAAAACAGACATGTCCCTCTTGGACATTATTAGCTAACAGTGGATGCTGCTAAGGATTTGAGTTTTTTTTTATTTTAAAAGGAGATGACCTAACATTTATTTTTAAACTAAATTGACTAGTTGTTTCTTCCTTCAACTCGTACTATTTATGATGATGAGGGGAAAAAACAATAAAAGATAAACACCACCACTTGAACTTTAAAAGCAAACATCAAAAACTGTTTTGTTGGGCCATTGATTCTGTAGTTTTTGTTTTGTTTTATTTTTGCTTTTTTTTTTCGGGGTGTGGGGGAGCTTTTGTTGTTGTGATTAAGAGTCATGGTCTTAGAGCTGGAAGGGACCTTTGAGGTAATCTAGTACGATTCTCTTATTTTACAGAGGAAACTGAAGCCTGGAGAGGTTAAGTGGTTTTCCCACAGTCATATAAGTGACAAGTGGCAGAGACAGAATCTAAACATAGGTCCTAACCTTCATAAGGTTTTGTTGTTATTGTTGTTGTTGTGTCTTTTTTTTTAAAGGTAAGAACTGTTTTAATGGGGTTTCTCTAATCCTTTTTGTAAGCAGAATAACAAATAAATAATGAAGGGAAAGCAACCAAATGAGAAAGTGTTTTGAAACCTTATGGATTTTTTACTACACTGAATTATTTTACTGTGTTGGTGTTTCTCTATTTGTGAACTCCCAAGAGTCGGGAATCTGATTCATTGCTGAAATGATGCACTTCAAACAATTTTTCCTCATATGGGACCTGTGAAATTTTTTCAGAGTTGTTCAACCACATCAACAACAGATGTTTGATGAAGAAATGTCAGCCAATCAAGATGAAGATGAGCAGCCTGGTCCATCCAGAAGAAAACGACAGCCAAGTATGTCTGAGACAATGCCGCTATACACACTTTGTAAAGAGGATTTAGAAAGTATGGATAAAGAGGTGAGCCATGACCAAATGCCAGGAATCTAAAGAAATGGTTTTAGGAATATAAAACAGAAGTGCTGGCTGTTTTTGATGGCAGTAATAATTGATAACTACTTTTGTGTCTGAGCATTCTCTCTTCTAGCTGAGTTTTATTTCTATAGATTTTGGTACTTGCATAGCGGAAGCAAAATTGAAATACTACTGTATTTATGTTGTTGGTTTTATGTTTACATATTCCTTTATATTAGAACTCCTGGCATCATGAAATATTTTAAATTAGATCCATGAAACTACTCAGTGATATCGGCAGAAGATGTCATGTGTGCACTTTGTAATGCAGGTATTATTTCCCGTTATGTGCTATTTTTACTGCATTATGCATATGCAAAACAAGTGGACCTAGGCTAAGAGCCCAGTAATAGTGCTGTTAAAAATATCTGTTTGTAGTATAGTGATAATGATCTTTCCTAATGTATTTTAATACCATTTTAGCTTCTATAATTTACTTTTTATCTTGTGTTATGTGGAGAGTTTAACTCCTGATGCTTTTATGCTGCTTTATTAGACAATTAAATAATTTTAGACTAACTTTTTTTTTAAATGTTGCATTGTGGGTCTAATGGCAGTGGAATCTGCAGTCTGTTATTAAATACAGACTAAATATAGTGGTTTTCTTCCTTGGAGGAAAAAAAAAACCTGAAACTTAATAATTCAAATTAAGATTTAAGATTTTTACCACAGTTTAGTCAAGTTAAATTAGAAAGGTATTAGCAATGGTATCCCCAACACAATAGGTTAATTTTTTTTAGTCTGAATTCAGGAATGCTTTTAAGTGAATTTAGATTTTATTAACTGGAGTAACACTTGCATATTTTTGAAAAAAATTGTAATACACATATTTAGAAGATTTCCAGTAGACAAGTTTTGTTTACTTAGCGATTTGTGTTCCTCTTTCAGTAATTTCCCAGTCACCAGATTGGGACTCTCTAATGTAAGGGCTCTTATGGTTCTGTCATTCTTTGGTTCTGTGTGGTAACCATATATAGATTTACAACACTGATTTAAGGTTTTCAGATGATTCTGATTAAGGTGAAAGTTGTTATTGATTTCTTAATTCTTGAACGTCTTTCAGAAACTTAATTTAACCAGCTAAATTAATTTAGTTCTTTGTGCTTTGGAGGAAAAAATGTTACATAATATTTAGATTGAGAGAATAATGGACCGTGTTAATGAAAAATAATGTTTTGTTTATTTTTAACCCTATCAGAAACTATATATTATCATCTTAGTCTTATTTATACTAAAATGTATAAAATGACACTAGTATCAAGCTACTTTCAGGATTACTGTCTTAATTATTATGCCTCCTTGCTTAATTCCTGTTGATATACATAATAAACATATTTATTCAGTACATACTGTATGTTGGAGGATACAATGAAAAAATACAATAGACACAAAAATGAAACAGTCTCTCTCTGTAGTGTACATTCTCTTGGAAGCAACATGTACCCATGTAAGTAAATAGAAAGTCATTAAGGAGGAAGGGCATTAACAGTTGGCCTCAGGAAGAGCTTCATGTAGAAGGTGGTGTGAGAAGATTCTGGGTAGTGGGAGAGAGACAGAGAGAGAGGAGTCCATTCCATGCAAGGGAGATGACAGTGCAAGGACATGGAGTTAGAAGATACAGTGACATGAACAGAGAGGAGGCCAGTTTGAGTAGACCATAGGATGTGAGGAGACTAATGTATAGTGAGGTTGGAAAGGTTACCTGAGGTCAGATTATGAAGTATTTTGAAAGCCAAATGGAGGAGCTTTTATTTTATCTTAGAGGAAAAAGGGAACCATTGGAGTTTATGGATTAGATAAAATGTACTCTCCAACATCTTACTTAGATATCTGGGGAAAGCTTTTATGATGATCAAAGAAAATAATAATTGAGAAATCAAGAAAAATATTTTCTTTGAATAATTTTCCTTTATTGCTTTTTGTGTTTTATAATGTCATGGAACAATATGTGCATGGTTACAATTTACAAGTCAGTAAATAGCTAGCTTATAATGGCTGTATGTTTCAATAGACTTTTGAATATGAGCTATTTCCCATAGGTACTTTATATACAGAAAACACGGAGTCATGATAAGTTCACAATTATATAGTCACTGGCCTATTTGGGAAGGAGCCATTTTGTTATGTTTCAGGGAAGGGACAACAGAAACTTTGTAATATGGTAGTCTTCAGTTTGCTTATTCTTGTTTCTAGAGGGAAATGCCTCACTTCTAACATAGTTTATAGTATATAAATATTTTACTGATGCCCAAATTTACAAAATAATACTGGTAACAGATGATTTTGAGGATTGCCATATTTATTGTTGTGCCCAATCTTGTTTAATTATTACTTACTACTCATACACATAATCAGCAAGTATTTATTAAGTGCCTAATATGTTTGGGGGAATACAGTACAAAAATGCAGTGCAAATGCAAAAATGAAACAGTCCTTGCTCTCTAGTTTATATTCTGTTATCCTTAACTTGAAGATGGTGCTTATTAGTCAGCATACACTTGGCTGAGTTTGTGAACAGTTTTTCTGAACTCATGATAAGTCTAGGGAACAGTTCAATTTTGACACATATTCGGCATCCATAAGAAACAGCTCTTACCAGAGGGCAGGTACCTTGCCCAGTGAAGTTTATCTGTCTCAAGAGCAACTTTGAAGAAGCTGTTGTACCTTAGAAAAGAAACATCAAAGCCCGTTTTGTAAGGCTTCTTAAGAAAAGTCACAAAGGATATTAAAATGTTTGAACATGTCAGAGGCAAGCTAAGAGGCTAAACATGGTTGTGATAGATATTAAAATAATAAGTAAAAAATTAATTCAGTTGCACCTAGAGCTTGGTCCATCATTAACCCTTACTTTTTTGGGCAGAAATTCCTATTTCAATGTCACCCAAATTGTGAGGCAGATTTTACAGCCTGTATCAGAAAACAGTGGCTAGCAAAGCCCACTCATAATACTTAGTCAAACTACATCTGGAGTATCATGTTCAGTTCAGGGCCCCACTTTTTTTTTATTTTAATTTTTTTATTAATTTATTTTTAGTTTTCAACAATCGCTTCCATACACTTTTGAGTTTTAAATTTTTCTCCCCTATCCCCAAGACGGCATGCAATCTGATATAGGCTCTTTGTATACATTCCTATTAACCTTTTTCACATTAGTTATATTGTAAGGAAGAATTAGAACCAATAGGAGGAGCTACAACAAAGAGGAAACAAAACAAAACAGAAGGGGGAAAAAAGAGCAAATAGTATGTTTTGATCTGTATTCAAACTCCATAGTTTTTTCTCTGGATGTGATAGCATTTTCCAGCATGAGACTTTTGGAGATCCTTGCATTGCTGGGAAGGGTTAAGTCTATCAAAGTTAGTCATCATACAACATGACTGTTAATGTGTGCAACATTCTCCTGGTTCTGCTCATTTCATTCAGCATCAGTTCATATAAGTCTTTCCAGGTTTTTCTGAAATCCACCTGCTCATCATTTCTTACAACACAATAGTATTCCATTACATTCATATATCACAACTTGTTCAGTTAATGGGCAGCCCCTCAATTTCCAGTTCTTTGCCACCACAGAAAGAGCTGCTATAAATATTTTTGTACATGTGGGTCCTTTTCCCATTTTTGTGATCTCTTTGGGATACAGCCCTAGAAGTGGTGTTACTGGGCTGCACATTTTTATAGCCTTTGAGCATAGTTACAAATTGCTGTCCAGAATGGTTGGATCAGTTCACAACTCCACCAATAATGCATTAGTGTTCCAATTTTCCCACATCTTCTCCACCATTTATCATTGTCCTGTTTTGTCATGTTAGCCAATCTGATGGGTGTGATGTGGTACCTCAGAGTTGTTTTGATTTGCGTTTCTCTAATCAATAGTGATTTAGAGCATTTTTTCATATGACTATAGATGGCTTTAATTTCTTCATCTGAAAACTGCCTGTTCATATCCTTTGACCATTTATCAATTGGGGAGTGATTTGTATTCTTATAAATTTGACTCAGTTCTCTATATATTGTAGAAATGAGGCCCTTATCAGTGACACTGGTTGTAAAAATTCTTTCCCAATTTTCTGCTTCCCTCCTAATCCTGGTTGTATTGACTTTGCTTGTGCAAAAACTTTTCAATTTAATATAATCAAAATTATCCATTTTGCATTTCATAATATTCTCTTTCACCTGTTTGGTCATAAATTCTTCTGTTCTCCACAAATCTGACAGGTGAACTATTCCTTGCTCTCCCAGTTTGCTAAGTATCAGCCTTTATATCTAAATCATGCACCCATATTGACTTTATTTTTGGGATTTGGTGTAAGATTTTGGTCTGTGCCTAGTTTCTGCCATACTCTTCCAATTTTCACAGCAGTTTTTGTCAAATAGTGAGTTCTTATCCCAGAAGCTGGGGTTAGTTTGGTTGGTAGGGCACTGAATAAGTTATTAGCTTAGGTAGAATTGTCATTTTCTTATATTAGCTCAGCCTACCCCTGAGCAATTGATGTTTTTCCAGTTTTATAGATCTGACTTTATTTATGTGAAAATGTTTTGTAATTGTGTTCACATAGTTCCTGGGTTTGTTTCAGTAGGTAGACTCCTAAATATTTTATGTCTACAGTAAGTTTAAATGGAATTTCTCTATCTCTTGCTATTGGGCTTTGTTGGTAATATATAGAAATGCCGGTGATTTATGTGGGTTTATTTTATAACCTGCAACTTTGCTAAAGTTGCTTATTATTTCAAGTAGTTTTTTACTTGATTCACTAGTGTGTGTTGTGTGTGTGTGTGTGTGTGTGTATTGATATACTAGATATACTTGATTCTCTAGTATGTCATCATATCATCTGCAAGGAGTGATAGCTTTGTTTCTTTGCCTATTCTATTACCCAGGGCCCAATTTTTATAAAAGATATTGACAAGCTTGGGTACATATAGACAAAGGCAAATAAGATAGTATG